ATAACTATTCTCGATTTTTTATATTATTATATAATAATTCTCGATTTTATATAGATTATTTAATACCAAAATGAGAATAAGAATGACTGTGTTTTTAACTCTAAGTGCATAACAACTCAGTGAACAATAAAGAAAACTTACAGTATTAAATTTAAACTGGAGATTTTCTTAATAACCATCTAGAAAACGTAACATCCAGCCACTAGCTCAGAACTCTCTACGTAGAACTCCATAAAAGAAGCGACGAAGACAGCGAAGCACCGTGAAAAGTACTCATCTAATTAATCGCATAATACTACACCAGGCAGTTTCACAGTAAAGTAAAACTTACTCGAAGGATTCATAAAGTTCGTAAGACAGTCTCGTGGCTCAGGAAGTTTTCAAGCACTGTGCTTATTATATTCATATATATCAACCTTACTTTTAGACGGATATCCGAATAATTAATGGCCCATTCCCTAAAGACGAATGTAAACTCAACTTCAATTCATACGTCCACATTGCTTTGCCGATTTCCGATGACTTTCCGTTCACGTTGTAAAAACTAACGTTTCTTTAAAATGAACATAAAAAAAACATGTAAAAAATGTGATCATCAGGCCGTGTCGATAATTGATGTTCTACAACGCGATTTCTGGAATACAATTCATGATCTTTCGACACAAGTACACGATCATTCGATAGATTACAGTGAAGTAAAGAAAATATGAAATGGCTTAAGGAGCTATGCTAGTGTGACGGTTTCAGAAAATCGGATTTTTCTTTTTTGTAATTTGCAACAACCTTTTGTTTTATAAAAATATATCATACTTTACAAATATTATTTAGTAAATATATATATATCATTCAATTGGTTATTATATAGCCGTCACACTAGCATAGTCCCTTAAAGAAAAAGTTTAGAAAGTGTTAATTGTTTATAGTAGAAAGGTCTCAGGACACAAAGAGAGTTAGCCAAAACAACGGCCACAACCGATGGTCGTTGGGAAGGGAAATACAGACCACCCGCCGATGG